AAAATTCATGTATGTCAATATGCATATAAAGATTTGATTGCTTCTTCTTTATTATGTGTATAGAAGATTCTTTTTATATGGAATATTTATCACACTGCAATGATTTTATAACCTCATAAATTTTTCATTTCACATGCTGAATACTATCATTTAGTAAAAAAAAAAGAAAAGTATTTTAAAAAAAAAAAGAAAAAAAAAGACAAGTTCGACTGGGATTCGATCTCGGGACCTTTCGCATGTAAAGCGAGTGACATAACCACTAGACCACGGAATCGCTTTACATAGAGTCAAGTATATGCAGAACTAAAGTCACATACATGTATATATTCATGTTCGGTATTCTCAAAATTTTACACAATCCATGGTGTTTGATTTATTTAGCCTTTATTAAACAGTTCTAATAGATGTAATAAGAACATAAAGTCCGCCGAGAACCTGTTTTATACGCAATAACTCTCCTCATGCCCCTGTGCTAAAAATAGCGACATGTAATATTATAAATACTAATAAAACGAACGGGGCGCGGGGCACTTTGAGAGGGGTGAGAGAGGTCCTAGGGAGTTTTAGTAAAAAATTATATTGCAGAAGCTCAAAATCTTCTTGAAATATCGCCCGGAAATGATAGTGTTACACACAGACAATGTATAAATTTACGACCTTGAACTTTGACCTTTTGACCTCAAAATCAATAGGGGTCTTCATTAGGCCACAGGGAGTTGTTATGTAAAATTTCATTGCGATAGCTCAAATGGTTCTAGAGATATCGTGTGGAAACGAAAGTGTTATAACAGACAGAATTTGCTTATTTATGACCTTGACCTTTGGACCTCAAAATCAATAGGGGTCTTCGTTAGTCCCTCGGGAGTTGCTTTGCTAAATTTCATTGCGAAGGCTCAAAGGGTTCTCGAGATATCGTGTGGAAACGAAAGCATTACAGACAGACAGAAAGACAGACGGACAAACCCAAATTAATATCCCACTTTTCAAGCGGGGACAAAAAGAGGGGGGTCACTTTTTGTCCCCCGCTTGAAAAGTGGGGATCAATTTGGGTTTGTCGTCCGTCCGTCTTTCTGTCTGTCTTAACGCTTTCGTTTCCACGATATCTCAGAACCCTTTGAGCTTTCGCAATGAAATGTTGCATAGCAACTCCCTATGGACTAAAGAAGAACCCTATGATTTTGAGGTCAAAAGGTCAAAGGTCAAGGTCATAAATTCGCAAATTCTGTCTTTTATAACACTTTCCTTTCCGCGCGGAGAACTCTTTGAGCTTTTGCAATGAAATTTTACATAACAACTCCCTGTGGCCTAAGAAAGACCCCTATTGATTTTCAGGTCAAAAGGTCAAAGTTCAAGGTCGTAAATTTAAACATTCTTTCTGTGTATAACACTATTGTTTCCGGGCTATATTTCAAGAAGATTTTGAGCTTTTACAATGTATCTTTATATCTAAACTCCCTTGGACCTCACTCACTCCTCTCAAAGTGTCCCGCCCCGTTTGTTTTATTAGTATTTATTGTATTACATGTCGCTAATTTTAGCACAGGGCATGAGGAGAGTTATTACCGGTACGTATAATACAGGTTCTCTGTGGACTTTATATTCTTATTACATCTATAAGAACTGTTTAATAAAGGTTAAATTAGAAATCATGCATTGTGTAAAATTTTGACAATATCGAACGTGAATATAAACATGTATGTGACTTCATCTTTGCATATAAATTTTACTCTTTAAAGCGGCTCCGTGGTCTAGTGGTATGTCTCTCGCTTCACATGTGAGAGGTCCCGGGTTCGCATCCCGGGAGATCAATTTTTTTTTTCGAAACTTTTCTTTTTAACTAAATGATATTATTCATGTGAAATGAAAAATTTATGAGGTTTGGCTTGTACAAACTCATAAAATCATCATTACAGTGTGATAAATATTCCATATAAAAAGAATCTTCTATACACATAATAAAGAATAAGCAATCAAATCTTTATAAACATATTGGCATATTTTTTTTGCTTCAGTATACATGTATACATTTAATAATTCTACAAATTCAGTCAAGGATATCCACCCCCCCCCCCCCCGAACTGCGCAGGGTTTACTTTTTCCCTAAGCGGGGGACACAGATTCTCTGAATTAGCTTGTTAAAACTTTTTTTAATAAACAAGGTCAGTCTTCTCCACGGATAGCGCTCAAACATTGCACCAATAATGACAATGTGTTATTTATTATATTCAGCATGTTCATTGCGTGTAAGCAAGGACTTGAAGCCGATTCAATATTTTGTCTATTTAAAATGTCTATCAGGCCGATCTTCGACATTTACAAAATATGATCGCTTTGATCTAGCTAGGCCCATATCGAAATTACTTTGGAGGGAAAGAAAATGAATGTTCTTACGTTGTATTACTGTCTGATAGATTGTTTTTGGAATCAGTACCAATTTTAACTGGTTATCTTTAAAAATAAATCTTGCAAATATATTGACCAATCAAAAAAGGGCTTTTCCTAAGAATTTCAAGTCGAATGTAAACTTCCGGCCCCCCTTTAGTTATTTCTCGCGTTGTTGAAGCAGTAGATCGAGTTTGACGAGGAATTTTTAATATTCGCAAGGGTGATGCGCCCTTCTGGTAGCACTGGCCGTAAGTTTAATCCTCGAAAGACTGGAAACAGGAAGATATGGTTGCAGGGAATTTATTTCACGGAGTTTCAGACGAAAATACAAGTGAATGACCGACTTCGAAAATCCAAGATGGCGGTCTCGATGGGTACCTTGTTGTTCCCCGCTTGAAAAGTGGGGGATATTAATTTGGGTTTGTCCGTCCGTCTTTCTGTCTGTCTGAACGCTCTCGTTTCCACACGATATCTCGAGAACCCTTTGAGCTTTTGCAATGAAATTTAGCATAGCAACTCCCTATGGACTAAAAAAGAACCCTAATGATTTTGAGGTCAAAAGGTCAAAGGTCATAAATAAGCAAATTCTATCTGTTATAACACTTTCTTTCCACACGATATCTCTAGAACCATTAATTTTGACAATACCGAATATGAATATATACATGTATGTGACTTCACTTCTGCATATACTTGACTCCATGTAAAGCGATTCCGTGGTCTAGTGGTATGTTTCTCGCTTCCCATGTGAGAAGTCCCAAATTCAAATCCAGGACGGACCACTTTTTTTTTTTTTTGAAATACCTTTTTTTTATTAAATAATAGTATTCAGCACGCGAAGTGAAAAATTTACGAGGTCTGGCTTATACAAACTCATAAAATCTTTATTACAGTGTAATAAATATTCCATATAAAAAGAATCTTCTATACACATCATAAAGAATAAGCAATTAAATCTTTACATCCATAATGGTATATTTTATTTGCTTCAGTATACATGCATGTACACATTTAATAATTCTACAAATTCAGTGAGGGGGACCCGACCCCCCCCCCCTTCCCCGAACTGCGCATGTTTTACTTTTTCCTTAAGCGGGGGACACAAATTCTCTGAATTAGCTTGTTTATCATTAGGTATGGGTATATTTTTTTATTAAAAGAATAAATTATAAGTTACGTCAGGTGCCTGTGGACCTGGTTCCTTGAGTTACATGAAAACGGATACATTTCGTATATAAATGTATGCATTCGAACTATATCACATTATATTCCATAATATTAACACCTGTGGCTACAGTACTCCACTCGAAATTTCCTCAGGACATGCAAGCATATCCGTAATAATCGTAATGTAGCGGATCATTGTGCGGATGGATCCAGGTTTCCAGTACGTTATGGTTCTTGAAATACTCATACTATCAAACACTTTTCAAATTTATGACCTTTATCTTTGAAATCATGTAGGATCTTCCCTAAGTCACAGGGAGAATTTCATTACAAAAGCTCAATGCTTCTCGAGAAAAGCGTGAAAAAGAGTGTACAGACAGACAGAACTACAGACAGACGTACTGACTGACAGAAATTTATATCCCCCTTTTTTCAGCGGGGGACAAAAAAAAAACCCAAATAATAATAATAAAACCTATACACTTATGTAGGATAGGAATTTAATGTTATTTAGTCCAATATGGAGATAAAATATCTATAAAAAGATACATGTAAGACGAAAGTTTGTTTCAATCTGTAACATTTTTCGATCAACGTTATCTTTCCTTCCTGACTTTATAGTTTAGTATTATATCTTTGATTAACCACTATTTTAGAATGAACCAATTTGTTCAATTCGTTGTAGTTGTTAACAAAAACAGGGATTACCATCGCAAACACGAATATGCCCGCCAAAGCACAAATACTACCTATCATCTTTCCGAAGACAGATTTCGGAACGATATCTCCATAACCCAATGTCGTAAGTGTAACCACGCTCCAGTACCAGGCATTTGGGATACTGTTGATGTTATCTTGGCCTTCTGCAAAGTACAGGACACTGGAGAAAATTAGAATGGCCGTCAGGAGAAAAACGAGTAAAACCAATAGGTCTCGTATGTTTGTCTTCACACAGTACACAAAAACGCGGACCTCAACTATATGTTGTACTACTCTCAGCAAACGAAAAATTCTAAGTATTTGTAGAAAATCAAGGGCTTCCACGCGTTTGTCGAACTTTGTTTCATTCACAACTGACTCTACAATCTCTACTGCAACTGACGCTGTTAGTATTAGAATATCAAGAATATTTAGAAACGAAAGGAAGTACTTCCGAAGATTTGGACATGTTGATAATCGCAGTATAAATTCTACTGCAAAAAATATCATCACCACTTGGTCAATGATGGTAAAAACAACATGTTTCTTCACCTTTTGTGGTACTCTGGCTTTATAATGCCTGTAGAGTGTATCTAATGATAAACCATCGTTGCTGTAGTAATCCTCATACTCCTCAGAGTGCTGATAGTGTGTATGGTTTAAGAAATATTCTTCAAACTCTTTTTCATTTAGGTCGGGCGGAATATCTCCAAAGTAGTGAAGCCATGCTTTCCAAGGATCTGTGCCACAGTCCAAAGTGTCGAGGAATGAATTCAAGTAGTCGTTAGCGTCATGAACTATACGTTTCATCTCACAAACATTGATCCTCTGTTCGAAAACTGGAAGCGTGCTGATGCAGAGGGAGAGGACGGAGATAATTATCATGGATGTTCTCACAGCAAGGTAGCCCTATTTAAAAGTATATTTACCACAAATGAAAATAAATTAATGTATTACATAACAACACAACATAAAACCAGAAAAAAACTGTCTAAAAATAAATTACAGGTAATACAATTTCCAGTATGCCGGTTAATGTTGTTTCTGGGTTAGAATATCCTTATATCTATACCCCAAAGTGCTGATTTATCTTTCTTTCTTCATTCTTTTTGTACAGGTTTTATTACATAACCGCATATTGCTGCAAAAGTAAGGGAAGTTGACGATTGAAAACTTAAAAGTTTGGATTTTAGATTACCATTAACGCCTTTTCAAGTAAAATATTCAAACATGAAGCAGACTTATCAGATTCTGTGGAATCTTTTATCTCAAGCTCACCGGGATAAATCATATCGACATAAGAATGGAAATAAACCATTGTTCATTCACGCACTAATTGCGAATTCAAAGACACGGGGTACGTGAGATCGGTTTCCAAGATACTAGTATATAAGCAAGAATTATAGACTTATACATGTAGATAGTTTTCAATAGGCCCAAATTAACGAGAGTTATTTCCTGTCGGCCGCCATATTGGGGTCAACATGCTCATATTCCTTCATAATTCAACCAACTTTTACTTTTTATACTGGCAATTGTGGGCTGGAAAGCAATGTTTTTTGAAAAATATACATTTGTTAGAGACTGCTTTATTTCATAATGTTTATTCCATAAAGATTTTCACCCAACTATTTGTGCTACACCTTCTTACATTTGGTAGGACAAAGAGGGAAAATTACCTGGTTGACCACCAAGATGTCGACCAATGGGAAATAACTTTTGTTAATATGGGTCTACTGAAAACTATCTATAGCAAGCGGAGAAGGCTAAAATAGGTTTTGCCTGCTGCCCAATCCAATTCACCTTTAAAAGTGAATAAAATTTTGTATAAATAAATATAAACTTATAGCACATGTAAACGTAATATTTCATACAAATTCTAATGAGTAATAAACTTTATTAGCTATTTTTATCTCTTACATTTCGTATATTGAGATACATAGAAAATAATGCATACCCTTTTCCATAGCACATCCTGTATCAGCCCTCGACCAATATCAGCCCTCGGGCCGATCCTGTATCAGCCCGAGACACCAATATCAGCCAGAGGGCCGAAGGCCCGAGGGCTGATATTGGTCGAGGGCTGATACAGGATGTGATGTGGAAAAGGGTATGTATTAATATGTTTATTACATACTTAGTAATAAAATACAGCATGCATTAAGTGGAGAAGAAAATAAGTAAATAATCATGCATGGACTTCTTACATACATGTACATGGTCTATTGTCTCATACAATTTGGGTTTGTTTCTACTTCAATCTATTTCAATGCACTCGATCCGTAATTTGAAAATAATCTACATGTATTTGTAAATTAAGATTAACCTTATTTTCAAAAAGTTAAAATTAAGAGAATATGAACCCACCAAAAATTGTGTATGATCACAAGTACTGTTTTTGTGGTTTAATTTACTAAGGTGTGATATTGACGTCAAAATAGCCATATCAGCCCTGCAGGGCTGATATAGGTTATCAGCCCCGCAAATCCATATCAGCCCTGCAGGGCTGATACGGCTATTGTGACGTCAGCCATATCGCATATGCAAAAAACCTGTATTTATTACTAAGTGTGTAATAAAAATAAATAAACATGTAGATGTTTGACATTAAACATTACCCTTGCAGCCTTCGTTCGACACTGATTCTCCAAAACTTCCCAAATCCGTTGTTTTCTGGACAATCCTTTCGGTGCGAACGTCTTTTGGTTACCTACTCGAATTTCGTCCACAAAACTTTTAAACTTCTTCAAATTTCCCAAAGATGATTCCAAATTGCTCAAGCAGCAACTTTCAACATATGAAACCTCTATCTCCCAAAAATTCAGTTCATCCAAAAAAGCTTGTGGACAGACATGAGTGGGCATATGAAGCTTTCCTGTTTGATAAAAGGCATGGATTTCTTTAAAGAAACGAACTGGACGTTCAAAACTACACTCCATCTTGACGTTTTCATTACTGTTAATGAATTTTCCAAGTTTTGTGTCCGGATACAATTTCAGTGCCTCAGCTGCCAAAGTAAATTTCTTACCACTAACAGTGACTGTCAAATATCTCGACTTCATATCTTTTTTTTTCACAATTACGGGATAACATCTGTTTTATTACCTCGTCGAGAATCGACAATTCCTAGAATAAATGAAATTTTATCAATAATGCAAAACTTTTATTGGTTATGTTTCTGCTCTGAAGAGAGTTTGGCGTTAAACATGCTTCTCCTTAAAATGTTCGATTATACCAATTGCAGTTTATTCGACACCAAAAAAAGTTGTTTTCGCTTTTGCCCTACGATATGCTTTGTATTATTTACGAAAACTTACAGTTGGAATATTTTCCTTCGATTAAATGATTGAGGAGAATACATTTAATGTAGGAACTGGGTGGGGATAAAGCTATATAGCGTGACCGAATTCACGTACACGGCGAGATATTTTTAAGGTACTCTGATCCTCATCCAGGAATGATAACTCTAGCGTGACCGAATTCACGTACACGGCGAGATATTTTTAAGGTACTCTGATCCTCATCCAGGAATGATAACTCTTTAATTTATGATTTCATTCAAAAAGTCTTAAAATGAAGCTTGAAAATTAAATCTTTTCATGCAAGAATTTTCATTTTATGCCTCTAAATGTGCTTTAAGCTTCTTTGAAATTCTCAGAAAGGTCTAGTAAAAGGTTGAAATTTTTACCCCAAAGGTATTTTTTTTAAAAATACATACTTCATGAAATTAATAAGGCTCTTTTAATCTAACAATAGTTACTAATGTTTATTATCATGATATGAAATTAGAAGTGATTTATGGTGTTTTGCAATGATTCAAAAATTAGCTATAGTAAAAGTTTGGAAGTGGTCAAGAGATCAAGTACATTGATACCCAAAGAAAGGTCTTGTCAATAAGAATACACATTTTTAAGATGAAAGCCATAAATCCAACCAATTCTAAATTTTTGACACGGTTTATGTATATGCGGACAGACAAAAAGACGGACAAGCGAGCAAAAACTGAAAAAAAAAACAAATTCCTTACAAATACTGCATATGATCCCAGTTTTGATGACTGGTTTGTATTGCTTGTCTTAATTTTGGCAATTTTTTTTTCTCATTTTGTACATTTGAAAGAACTGAATTTCTAATGCTGATACATAGTTTAATTCACTCTTTCTCTATTTAGTATTTTCTTCTCTCTCAGGGTTTTTCGAACAAGCAATTTTATCAATTTCAAAGGTCAAAACACTCTTCAAATCGAATTAATGACAAAGGGAAAAATCGATGCATAACAGAACTCTTGATTGTAGCTCGTAAAACGCAGGTTTAATTTTGACTCATCGATAACGAACATTATTTAAGTCAAAGTGCTTCTGTTGTACAAGGAATTCTTAATCAAGTTAGCTTCGGTAACCTGGGAAATTTTATTATTAAGACATTATTAAAAGGCGAACAAAGCGAACAGTGTCTATAAAATATATATCAAACAATACAAATATGCGAAGAAGGCATAACGCACGGACCCCTGGTAATTTCAGAAGTGGGATTATGTCACTTTGTTTGATTATTGTTTAAGGTCCCTCTCGAGAATTTTTCGCTCATACGGCGATGTCACAATATAGTTGCCGGTGTCAACACCTACTGCAACATGGGAGGAGTGAGCAACCCCTGTTGACAAATCACCCGCCGCGAGTCCTTTATTTATCAGGTACAGACGGAACTCTCCATAGTCAAATTCAGTTTAAAAACAAGTGCTCAACAATTGGTATGAAACAAATTAGCCAAAAAACGACCAAAATGATTGATTTCCTAACAAGGTCATTATGGCGCCCGTAGAAATTACGATATGTCGACTTCTAATTAAAATTCCTGTAACTTCAACTTATCAGTGAAATGACTCGCTTTAAAGATTGATCGTACTTAGGACAAGCTCTTGAATAACGAAGTTAGGAAACATAAACACTAAAACTAGGCAAAGCGGAATATTTTACAACAACATTATGAAAACAGAAAATTTGAAGTCGTCTTGTTTGTCAAACAATTTATCTGTTTAGTCTTTATCGTTTAAATCAGTGAACATTCAAATATGAAATAAATGTGGAAGAACTTGTGGTGTCTTTTATTCAAGTTTACTGTAATACAATGGTTCGACATAATTATGAATGAAAATTACTATTGTTAAGGAGTTCCAACTCTAATAGGACCAAATTTATTTCCCTTAAATATCCATGAAGTACATTATACTCTGGAATTAAATTAAAGCATCTATAAAAGAAAGAATTAACAGAGAGAAAGTTTCTAAACTTAAGGCAGTAGTTAATTAACAAAGATTGCATTGAAGACTATGGGGGAAAATCGATTATTTAAAAATTCAAAATCAAACTAGAGGTACTGTGAGCAATGAGCTCACTGAATGATACCCCCCACCTCCCATAATGTCCATGTGTTGCTATATGTATATTGTTTTACGGTAACGTATAAAGAGAAATAACTAGTGGTATCTAATGTTATTCAGAAGCCGCCATATCTCACGTCATAGGTAAGAATATAATGGCAATGTCCATGTTTTGCTATGGTAAACTTAAAATAAGTGTCGGATCAAAAAGTAAAATAATAGAAGGTGCACAATGGCAATATGTAACAAAGATTCTGAGAAAGTTTCATTAAATTTCACTCAGTGGTATAAGAGGAGTTGCGGATAAGAGATGGGTACACCAAAGCGTAACAGACAGACGGACAGACGGACGGACTTACCGATTACAGTATACCCTCCCACTTTTTAAGCGAGGGGTATAATAAGAATATCATTAAATAATGTGGTGGAAAGATGCATTGAATGAAACATAACGAACTGTATTCAAGAACAAAAGTCCATAAAACATCCATCTTTTTATTAATTAAATGCAGAGGGAAATAACTCTTACTAAAATTCAAGGTCAAAAATTAGGACAAATCCCATTCTTACATGCTAGCTAGTAGTTATAAATGGGAATTATGTCTAAATATGCTGACTCAGGGTGTTCAACACCCACACATTAATTTCATTGAATCTGTTGCTATTAAAGCTAGAATACCTTAATTGAGAAAACATTGTAGATGATTTGAAGGCCACAGCAAATGTTTTCTCTCTGCATGCAAATTGATGTATTGAATCTTGTTTTATGTCCCTTCGAGAATTTTAACTCATATAGAGACGTCACCATGTACCGGTCGAGCGACTTAAAATTTACACCTTTACTTGTTATGGAAGAAAAAGACTACAGACATACAGAAGGATGGGCTCAGTAATCCTAATAAATTCCTCTACTTTGCGAGGCGATGGTGGCAAACAAAAAATGACTTTCCGGTCAATTATATATCTTTTTATTAGCTCGTCTGAACTGAAAGCTCAAGTGAGCATTTCTGATCACATTTTGTCTGTAGTCCGTCTGTCCGACCATCTGTCTGTTTGTAAACTTTTCACATTTTCGACTTCTTCTCAAGAACCACTGGGCCAATTTTAACCAAACTTGCCACAAAGTATCCTTGGGTGAAGGGAATTCAAGTTTGTTCAAATCAAGGGCCAAGCCCACTTCCAAGGGGAGATAATAACGAATTAATGAAAAATTAATGGTATCAGAGCTGCCTACCCTTTTCATTGCAATGGTGTAATTTCAGTACATTTTTGGTGGAATCTCGGAGGTAAAAGCGTAATCAATCATGTTTTCCTATTTTGTTGTTTTTACTATAATACTTTATTTTCTTTCAAAACAACCGAAATAATTACAGTACTAAACAAAGCTGGCGTAAACTTTTTTTTTTCGAATCATTTATTGGCAAAAAAGAGTTGTAAAAAAAAAAACAAAAACAGTATCCTGTATCGAACTCGGTTCAACCATACACCCTTAATGAAGCTTTTGGTCAAATCACTTATTTGAAGGCTTGCGTTTGCATGTTTACACAAATCGTACATTATAACATTGTATTTTGTTTTTAACACTCGCATTTCTCTATCTTGTTCTAAACTAAATTGAGCATAGAAATGGCTGAACTTATTGCAATATCATTTAATAGTTAACGTAAGCAGTGCCTTCTCGTCTTCTTTCGAATATTCGCCAAACCAGTTTACATGTAACTACTTGGTATATTACGTACTTGGTATATTGCGTACGTTATCGAACCGGTCCTCTATTAATTACTTTTATTGGATTTTCTCATTTCATTTCAGCAGGTCGTACTTTAACTCTAAATTTAGTCGTCCATAAAGGATTTTAAACCAAAAATCAAGAGCGTAAAATTAATATTAGTGGCGTACTAGCTTAATTTTGTGGTAAAAAGCGGAAGAATTACGCCAAAAGCGGAGAGGTAGGCAGGTCTGTGGTATCATTTAAAAATCTTCTTCTCCAGAACCAGTGAACCAGGAAAGATGAAACTCATGTGGAAGCATCCTCAAGTAGTGTAGATTCAAATTTGTTCAAATCATGACCCCCGGGGGTAGGGCGGGGTCACAAGGCTGATCAAAGTTTTACAGAGAAATATATAGGGAAAATCTTTTAAAAATCTTCTTCTCCAGGACCATTGGGCCAGGAAAGATGACACTCATGTGGAAGCATTCTCAGAAAGTTTAAATTCAAGTTTGTTTAAATCATGACCCCCCCCCCCCACCACCCCCCGGGGGGGGGGGGTTAGGACGGGGCCACAACGGCTGATCATAGGAATATATAGGAAAAATCTTTAAAAATCTTCTTTTCCAGAACCATTGAGCCAGAAAAAAATGAAACTCATATGGAAGCATCCTCAGGTAGTGTACATTCAAATTTGTTCAAATCATGACCCCCGTTGGTAGGGCGGGGCCACAATGGCTGAGCAAATTTTATCATAGGAATATAAAGGAGAGGTTTTTTTTGAAAATCATCTTCTCTAGAACCATTCGGCCAGGAAAGATGAAACTCATGTGGAAGCATCCTCAGGTAATGCAGATTTCAATTTGTTCAAATCATGAGTCCCAGGGGTGGGGCGGGGCTACAATGGCTGATCAAAGTTTTACATTGGAATATATAGGGAAAATCTTTAAAAATCTTCTTCTCCAGTACCGTTGGACCAGGAAAGAAGAAACTCATGTGGAAGCATTCTCAGGTAGTGTAGATTCAAATTTGTTCAAATCATGACCCCCGGGGGTAAGGCGGGGCCGCAATGGCTGATCAAAGTTTTACAATAGAATTGTAGGGAAAATCTTTAAAAAAAATTTTCTCCAGAACCATTGGGCCAGGAAAGATGAAACTCAGCTGGAAGCATCATTAGGTAGTGTAGATTTAATTTTGTTCAAATCATGACCCCGGGGATTAGGGTGTGGCCACAATGAGGGAAGTTTTGCAGATATAATAAACATAGAATATATTGGAAAAAAAAAACTTCTCCAGAACAGAAAAGTTTTGTTTAGTCAAATTGACATGTAAGCATCTGCAAGTAATGAAGATTTAAATTTATTCAAATAATATCCGGGGGGGACGGGTGTTAGCCAGGAGTTGCAATAGGAGATCGAGGAAAATGTTGGAAAAATCTTTTTAAATCTTCTTTTCAAGTATAGCAAAATTATACAAATATGGTTTATTGATATGGTGACATTCTCAAGTAATAGAAAATTCAAATCCCCCTCCCCCAACAAGTAAGCTTTTCAATACTAAGCTGATTTGTTTTCTTTGACTAGCTCATGTGCTCAGGTGAGCGATGTGGCCCATGGGCCTCTTGTTCCTTATATATTCCGGTCAATTATATATTCTTTTAAGCGGAGTGAACAGGGAGAGGTAATTTACCTATTTTTAATGGTTAAAACATTTTTTAAAAATATTTATATAAAATTATAAATCAACTCCTTTCATATTAGATACGATTATATATGTACAGTGGAGACGGTCTATGATGGCTCTCGGCAATCTCGTAATAGTTTCGTCCCTCAGTGTCCCAGCAGATCCCTTCCACGGTATGAGTTGGAATCGGAAGTAAATCAGGTGCGTGTCGTAGTGTACTCAATATATCGTCATTTTGAACTTTCCAGTAGTAGGCGTGGTCATTTAATGACGCAAGTAAAATCTGAGTACCGTCTACTGAAATATCACCAGAAGATGGATCATGGTTTTCCTCAAAATTATGTAAATGTGGAAGATGTACATTTGTTGTTATATCAACAGTATGATTGCTATTCCAACTCTCGGCGACTAGACGACCAACTTGTCTTCCATGATCATGATGCTTTTGATTTGATATAAGAAATACGTTGCCATGTCTGTCTACCATCAAAACATCAGAATGACTGTCCCAGCTACAATTCAAAAATGCATGTACATGTGAATGAAGAATGTTATCTTAAAAACTAATACAAGATGTGTCAACTTTCTGAAGCTTAAATGCCTCTGTATGGCAGCTGAGAGTCATGTTTTAGAGTAAATTAGTTAGTAAAGCTGAACACGATTCGTAAAAGGAACGTGTCCGCCATTTTTGTTCGGATTCTCGCTCTATCTGCAGACCCCTTTATAAAGGGCAGGACTTCGTCACTGTTAGTCGACACCGATGTAGACGGACGTAAGCTAAACAGCACTCGGTAGCGACAATAATAACGTAATGCTTCGTCTAATGCAGGAAAGTAAGATACCAAAGAAATTTACAATTATAGTTAAACATGTCAGTGCGTATACAAACAAACACAGATACACGTTACTGCAATAAAATCTAAACAAAGGTAGTGCAAGATAACCAGCACGAACACGGTCGCCATTCCACGCCGATACTCGTGATAATAAAGCAGTCACGTGTAACGAATCTGAACAGTACATGTGTATCGTAGATAATGATATCGAAAATGGCGTATGCCTATTTGCGATTCGTGTTCAGCTTTAATTGGTACTGAAGAAGTCATTGCCACAATGGTTATATGTGTGAAATGTGAAACATTCAAAAAATATGTCGAAAATTAAAGTTTTAAAAAAATCTTGCTTGTTACAAAGAATATCTGAGATAAAATTAAAAGCTCTAGTGCCTATGACCGTTAAGGTCAAGGTCAGGTGGTTGTTAATGCTGCTACACCAAATTAACAGACAAATGAAATGAAACTACAAAATAGTACAAGTCCCCGGATGCAAGTTATTTTCTTTTCCTTACAAAAATAAGCTATAAATGTTTTACTTCTGTTAATTTAAATATATCTTACTGATAATGAATAGCGGACACTCCTGTCAGAATCTGATCAGAGTAAATAAAGTCGGGCTCCTCAACACGATAAATTGTTCGTGCTCCGATCATATCTCCTATGTAAATGCAACTCTTCGTGCCACAGGGACCAACAGCAATATCCTCCCAACGCTCATTCTGAGCAGGATATAACCTGAGAGTGGATATGATGACTGCATTTGAAGCGTTTATTGCGTATAGGTAAGGGTCGTTCCGGTCGCCGTCGTTGTGAGTGTAGAGGACACCACGGTGCTTACGACTTGCCGCTAGTCCGGAGGCATCCGAAACTTGTAAATTTTCCAAACGTGCAATGAGTTGACCGTCTCTATACCTGGGACCTGAATGTACATTTTAAAATTATGTTATAATATATATCTTGTGAAAATTGCTTATTCGGTGGTAAAAGATCTAAAAGAAGGGAAACACTTGTATAATTACTAAGATAAAGTGGTGTGTGATAGGTTTATTGTATGTTGCAATTTTGTTATAATATATGTAACTTGTGAAAATTGATATTCATGGGTAAGCACTAGCATAATTACTATAATAAAGTGGTGATATATTTATTGTATGTTGTTTATCGTCCCATTCAAGAATGGTTCACTCATACATTTGGCGAACGGCTTAAATACATGTTTTTGACGTATAATAGGCATTAAGGGCCATTGAGCAGTGTTAACACCCATTGTGGTGTGATAGAATCGGTTTTATGCTATTACCCGAAGACCTGTGATTTCATTTTCATACATGGCGCTAGAAGAAATAGTCATCAATTATGTTTCCGTCCCAATGATCGAACCCCACTCCACTTCATCATTTCGTATATTCTATGTCGTTGTCACCAATACAATCTTTCATCAAGTCAAATTAATGCTGACTGACGTTTTATCAAAATTATTGTTAGGCCATCTACACAGTGTATTGCCGACGGATTTTCCTGCTTATCCTCGATCATGACAAGTCGCACGCAGCGTGTGTGATTGGGCGGCAGGGGTTGCTCACTCGTCCATGGCACCTGATCCCACTTTTATTGTTTTAAGGTTTAATAGGTCTGTGATTGTTTTGATCTGTTTTGTTTAATGGACTTTTGAGCTTGAAGAGTTCGTTATCTTCATATATTCCATAGTACACTTAATGTAAATGCATTTTAATTGACCATGTACGTGGAATTTGCCATATTATATTTTTGTACAGGCATATTGATCACTGTACCTCACCTTTAAAGAATTACAAAATTACACAAGTTTGCATTTAATGTAAACAAAATCCAAAACTCCTGATATTAATTCCAATACAGATAATTTTTTTTTTACCTGATCCATAGGCGATATTTGTTCCACCAATAAGCACAGTCCATTTTAGAAACGTCAGGAATACCTTCATTTTCAGTGAAGATCTTATACGTATCGGTAAGCCAGAACTGAAAAGAACAGCTGCCAGTAGGTGTAGTGTAATATTGTGCAAAGGTTATATCACTCTAGATTTGCATTCAAGTCAATCCAGTTTTAGATTGGCAGAAAAATACATAAATTTTCATTTTTAAATGGGATAAGAGTAATCAAGATGTCCACGTCAATACCTGATCATTAAGATTTCAAATAAAACAGTACTTCTATGGGACGGGGAGGGTTGTCACGTATGTTTATTATTAAAATCCTTATGAATGAGGAGGAATCAACGCGCAAATTCTGTTCTATTCAATATACTAAGTATATTGAAAAACAAATTTACTCGATGTTCTTTTTACCGATACCTTAAGATCAAGTGTATGCTTTTGTTCACATAGTCAGCGACTTTCGCAAAGATTTAGAGATGAAAAGATAATTGTAAAATTTCTTAATCGGATAGAAGACCTTATAAAAATCAGTATAATTGTATATCTAACTTGCTTCAATCATATTTATATAAAAAAAATATTTGCTTTGTGTTAGCCTACAGGAGACTCCATTAGTTTAGGGGGTAGGGTTGTCAATGCTTGTGTGTCAGTGTAACAAATGTTAAAAGGGCTTTAAAGAACAAAAACGGGACTCGTATGGTACTGAATCAATACGTCATTAGTGTTAACGTTGATAAGATTTTTTTATCGTAAATTATTTTCTGTCTTGAAGAGGGATGATTATGATTCCATACTAGATAATTTTATTCTTACATGATTTTAATGAATACATCACGAGTAGTGAACCTGATCAGAATAGTCATTGTTTGCACCTGTAGGTAATCTTGACTAACGACGTGTTTATAGATAAGTAAAAGTCTCGTCTTCATACGACCACACTTTGATTCTGATAAAGACATTAAACTTCCCTTCAAAATAAGGTCAGTCATTTTAATTGTTTAATGTGTTCTTGCTTAGGTCAAAAGCTTGTTTTTTGTTGTTCTTTCCTTTAGTGAGAATTTTTTTCTTAATTCACAAGACGAAATGGCACCAGATGTCCGCAAAGGGCTTTAAATGTATACATTCATTTAGCGCTCAGGGCCATGCACTGAGCGACGACGGTTTTTGACGTGCCAAAGACTGGTAAAATGAATATTTCTAACCATTTTGATTTGTTTCTGAAACTAATAAAGAACATGTTCTTTTAATTTGATACTAACAGAAACACAACAATTAGTCGCTTTCGTTTTTCAGTGGATAAGAGGGTTTGTTCTTAAATCGTCTACGACTTATCTTTTACATCGCGGGTTCGCATCCTACTGTGGGGAGTGGAGAAATAAATAAGACCGTATAAATAGCTGTGCATTGTTGCAGTAGATGCGGACACGAAGAGATTTCCACGCCGCTTTATTTCGTGCCATATGAGTGAGAAATTCTGGAAAGGACATCTTAAAAACTCAAAATCGATAGTCTGTTAAATACCGGTATATAGCTTTATCTTATTTCTGAATGTACAAAACGTTTTCTTGCATACTTAGCTAAAAGCAGAAATACCTAGCAAATGAAATAATTCAGCGCTATAGTATGGTAAATCCTTTTTGGTTACTCTCCGTTACGTCTTAGACTGGAAAATTCGATTATGTCAAGAAAAAATAATCTTGTTTTAATATGCACCGAAAGGTTTTGTTGAAAGTATTTTTTAACACATTTGAGTACCATAATGGTTTGTTTTGTTTTTCTTTAACGTCCCTTTGAGAATTTTTCACTCATATGGGTACATCAACACTTGCCGGTATAGAGCTGCGAATTTTTTCCAATATAGTGACGTAGCATCGTTTTTGAAAGTGGTACTGGTAGGGGGAGTGAGGGGGGGGGGGTCAGAGAAAAAAAATTACTTACCTGAAAAAGTTGATAAGCAAAAAGAAAAATTGCCCAAAGTCGAAAATTCTATTTCGTAAGAGGGGGGGGGGGGGGGGGGGGGGGGGGGGGGGGGGGGGAGAGGCCAACTTTTTTTCAATACCAACTTCTTTCAGTCCCAATTTTTTTGGACCTACAATACATTTCCCTTATATCACAAAACAATTGGGGGCCAACCTGCCTTTCAATGAACATTTCCTAAAGTATAAGTAACTTGGGAAAAAAGTGGGGGAGGCCTGCCCCCCCCCCCCCCCCCTAGTTGCTACGTGCCTGGAACAGTGAGGGATCATTTTCGTATTCAGACACGGAACCTTGATTTATACGTTATCCGAAGTACTATCTCCGCGTCCCACAGTGGGATTTGAACCCGCGACGTAAAGATCAACTCTTTACTCCGAGATTCGAAAGCAGACGCTCAAACCACTGCGCCACGCGGGCAACCATACTGTAATTAATATTTTCAAAAAATGTAAATCCGTATTTACGTTATCACAGAAGGAATTTATTTATTTCCTGACAATAGTTAATGGGAAGAGTTTCTCATTATCTTGGATTCAAGGTCAATAATGTTATCTTTGTCATGCGAAAATGGTCGTTACAACAGAAAATAATCTCTTGTAAGAATACAAATTGAATTCAACAAGTAGAAATATTATTGCAAAATCACTTTTTCTACTATAAAAAAAATCTTTTTCCCGATATTATTTCTCTCAACGGTTTAAATTTCAAGATGGTTCCTAGTCACGTGATTAATTTACAGTTTTATTACATAAAATGCATTTGTAGAGGACTAATAAATGAGGAAATTCTATTTGGAAAAGATCTATTTATTTTACTCATGCTTATCCATTCTTAGGGAAAATGATTTCGACCAATTATAAATTGTCATTTGACGACATTTACAAAATAAACTAAATATCTAAATTTTCAGAGAACATTTGTCTATCAATAAATAATTAAATGTTCATTTCTTTCAGATGAAAATAGTAGCGTTTCTGTGTTGTCTAGGCCTTGTGTAAGTTGAATATTCCGGTATATAATATAATAACTTAATTCATGTTTTAGTGATTTATCAATTTTTCGATCATATGCCCAATCGCACCAATCTCGTTTCCAGCGTGACCTATCAAGCCATTATGTCCTTGGAATCAGAAAACGGGGATGATTGAATGTCTACAATATGATCCAATTTTGTTTAAACAGCCCTTAACGTTCCCTCAACTGATCCTTGTCCCGAGTCGGTTCATATCATGGTCAGGTTAACTTATTTTCGAAACAGTTGATATCCAATAGATGTGCATATAATCAGGAAAATCTGATTCCTTTATTTTTTCCGGCATTTTCCGCACTTTGAGATTTGGGGGAGCGTGGGGTATGTGAGCTTGCTCACTTTTTCTTTCATTTGCTTCTCGTTCTGTCTTGATTTTACATGTAACCACTACGCCATGACCAAGGATATTTCATTTCTTCAAAGTTCTTGACATAAGATGAAAGGTCTTGTCACAAGGATTACATAATTATGTGAAGAATGAAAGCACTAGCCCAACACCCTTAAAGTTATGGTCAAGGTTTGCTATTCAAAGTAGGTCAAACTCTATGGTCAAAGTTGTTGGTATCCAATGAAGTGTATTTTCACATATGAGAATTATAAAAGCACTATTCCTTACCGTTCAAAAGTTATGCTTAAGGTTAAAGTTCTTTCATAAGTACGGAAATCTCCAAAGTGAAAAGGTCAAAGTTGATGGAGTATAAACGTTCTGGTATCTTCTGTTCAAAAGATATGGCCAAAGTAAAAGTTTGGATTTTTTGTGCAAAAGTTGGTTAAACTCCAAGGTCAAAGGTTCAATTTTGGTGGTACCCAAAGAAAGGTCTTATCACAAGGAATGCACATGTGAAATATGAAAGTCATAACTCCACTAAATCAAAGGTTATGGGCAAGGTTTTTGCGTACAGACAGAGAGACGTATGGACACGACAAAAACTATATACCCCCAAGACCTCGTTTACGGGGGCATAAAAATGAACAGAAAAGAAACGGGTTTCCTTTTCCGAACGTACAGCTGACGTGCTGGAAATCATAAAAACTGTTTGATGCAACAGTCGCTTACTCAAAACCGTTTAAATTTAATTTTATTAGAACTGAATGAACTTGTTAAACTATGCAGAAGTTTTTATTTAGTTAAGTATTTACAAAGAACGACCTTTAGTCGAGTTGTACTTACATTGTATTTGCCTACTGTAGCATACGGACAGCCTGTAACAAACCGAGGATATTTCTTGTAAGTTGATGATTAACCATGTTGTGTTCTAACACGTCTACAGTAAGTTCGTTGTTCGACAATTCTGTTCTCGGTAATCTTTCTCGGTTGAAGGACGTCGTCATCCGACAAAATTCAGAACTGGGATAATAATGAAAAGTTCGAAGTTTTGGTTAAGAGTTTCGTCTTAAACAACGCTGAGTATTCCCTGAACGTTCTTAAACCGACGGTACCACGTTCTCATGATTTGATGTCATTCATCAACATTTTTCTCAAACGTTGCAAGAACTAGGTTGGTGTGATGGGGTTGTAAGTGGAGTACATTACACCTAAAATTTTGATACTTTGTATTGGGCATATATTCATGCTTATTTGATAGATCTGCCGATTCTGAACCACAGAGGGAGTATATTTTATTTGAGAAAGTTGATCATGACCTAAGTGGATGTCTTGACCGCAGTGAAGTTGACAATATTTTCCTTGCCTTTGATGTAGATCGTAAGTTTCTTTATTTGCACGACGATCACATTTTTAAAAATAATTGAGCACATTTTTTGCTTTAAAACGTTCTTTTATACTGTACAAAACATGACCTAGTAAGTGTACAAATTGTAGTAAACAGTAATCATACTTTTTCATTGTTGTTACCCATTGTCATAGATAACCAGGAAGTGACCCGAGTAGAATTCGAAAACGACTGGGTCACTGCATACCATCTTGGTAACGCTCGAGAAGCCAACCTACTCTTCACCAAAGCGGACACTAACGGAGACGGGCACCTGACCCACGCAGACATGCCTCTCATTTACACCTACTTTGACATGAACAGTAAGTCTTTTCAAAAACACTGGCTGAGTCG